CTTACTCAGCTTCTTTCTTATAGAACCCAAGACCACACTTTGGGTGGCAGAACCCACAGTGAGCTGGACCGCTCACACAAACCATTATGCAAGAAAATGCTCTACAGACTTGAAAGGCGATCTGATGGAGGCATTTTCTCAAATGAATTTCCTTTCCCAAGTTGTGTCAAGTTAAAAAAAAAAACTAACTAGCACACGAAGTAAAACTGTCTTTATGCAAAAAGAACATTGCTGTCTATGTAGATGTCCAAAGGAATCAAAGCTCATGAACTAACATGTGATTACAGACACCGCTTTCCTATGCACTGCTGATGAGCAAGTAGAATTTCAAACTAAAAGCACAGTACAATTTATGTCTGAACCCCTAGAAACTGAAATACACAGGTGTAACTAACAGAATCCATACAAGATGTCCTTGGGACACATTACAGGGAACAAACTAGATAGACATCCATTCAATGTTTTTAGCAACAGTATTAAGATGTCAGTCCTTCTTGACTTCATCTACAACTTCAGTGCAATCCCATCAAAATCTCAGCAGGTTATCTGGGGAGACCAAGACATTGATTCGTAGGTTTATGTGAGGATGCTTAAATAAATAAATAAATAAATAAATAAATAAATAAATAAATACACCACCCAGAATAAATAACACAGTGCTGAGGGGGGCAATACTACTGTCCAATTTCAGATTTACTATAAACCTACAGCAGTCAAGATAGGTGGTATTGATCAAAGGGCAGAAAATGGGCCAGTGGAATGGAACAGAAGTAGGGATTTGGCCAATTAATCTGAAAATAGAAAGCATAATCTGTTCAGTAAATGGTGCTGGGAGAACTGGCGATCTACATGCCACAGATTGGGGGGAAGCACTTTGAAGAGATACAAATATGGGAAGAACTTTACAGACTCCACAATAAGTAAACAAAACAACTGAAAATGACCACTTCAGCAGTGACTGTCTCAGTCTATCAACTGCTTTCAAGAAAAATGCATCCATTTTGTAATTTAGTTAGTCAATACATCAGCATAATCTCTCAAAGATACCCATACTGGCTTTTGTTAACAAATATAATGATAATAACATCACAACTAAGGAATGAACACTAATTCATTGGCATCAGTTTCCAAGAATTGTCCAAGCTTCCTCAAATGTTCCCCCCCACCCCCCGCCCCTTTTCAAGACAGGGTTTCCTCTATGTAACAGTCTTAGCTGTCTTGGAATTCACTTTGTAGACCAGGCTGGCCTCGAACTCACCTGCCTCTGCCTTCCAAGGCTGTGATTAAAGGTGTGCACCACCACCATTTTTTTCTTTGTCTTGAAATGCCAGCTCTATCAAGCAAGCTTGTGATCCATGCTGGGTCTCTTCTTCGGACAGCTTAGATTACGCCAGTCCCACCCTTCTGGATGGGTGGTTTAAATTCAGCACCCAATGCAGTGATGCATACTTTTCTCCTACTCTCCCCGCCCAGTCTCCATTTGGGGATGTTCTTAGTCCCCTGCTTATTTTCTCTGTCCTCTAGTTTTGATGCAGGCTGCATTACATCTAATATTCATTTGTGGAGAATCCTAAAAGTATTCTCCTAACAGTGAATTAAGTTCCATCTACTTTACTCACTGCACCCACTGAAAAATTCATCATCCTAGGTTTTATCTTTTTCTTTTTTATGTTGAAACCTTTGACCAACTTAAATCCATTTTGATGTCAGAGGTAAATTCTTACCTCTGTATTTTGTTTTCCAGATTGCTAGCAAGTCATTGGATGACCTACTTTTCCTTCAGAGGTCTGAAATAGCCTTTATCATACACTGAATTCATGTATGTATATGAAAATGTGAATATATTTCCATATATATTATATATAATTTGCCCCGACCCCATTTTCTCTTTTTAGGAAGTGTGTGTGCATGCATTTGTGTATGCAACCACTAGGGACCAAACCCAGATCTTCACACACACTAGGCCAGTGTCATGAATTTTGGTGTTAGAGTAAGTTGTAATAGTAGGTGGTAGTTTTCTCAACATTCTTTTTTCTATTTGCTTCCAACTATGTCTTCCTACTAGAACAACAAAAATCCGTTAATTGATTTTCAGCGTCATTTCCTTATTCTTTCTTGCTCCAAACTGCTGTATATTATTCATTAAATTCAGACTGACAAAAGAAATAACATTTTTTTCTACAGTAATTTTTCTCCATTTTTAGTACAAGTTATTTTCAACGTGTCTTATTTGACTCTCTAGAGCTCAGTTCTTTTCTGTTTGGTTATTGCTGCCACACGTGAGAGATTTTGGGTCTACACACTCATTCTAGGACTGCTGGAAGAACCACAGCCTGGGTGTGAGGACAGATGATTTCACAGCTCTGTGTGCATCAGCATGGTCAGAACCCACACACACCACGGAAGAATACTCCATGCCCGCCTCTTTATTTCTGCATCATCCTGGTGCCGACAGCTCACAGGGACACACATTTCATTTCTGCCACCATATGGCCTGTCCTGTCTTCTCACTACTAGGTTATCAGTCACATTTGGTTAATCAATGGTTTCATCTCTTTCTATAAGAATCCCATTTGTAAACACAGCTCCATTTTCAAATTCTGGAGATTAGGTCTTCAACATGTCTTTTTAGGTGACACAATCCAAGCCTTCACTGTTGTATAATTTTTTAAATGCCTGCATTAATTTCTTATTGTACAGGTAGCCCTCATGTTTTCCTGGTACTTATTAGCTGCTTATAATGAGAACAATGCAACTTTTCCAATATCTATTTCTCATTTCTTGCCCTCATTTTGACTTACCAGCTGATATTTACAAACACACCAGGCCAACAACTTGGTATTCATTATACATTTGAACCTGATTAACATTAGAAACCCAACTACCCATTTGCATTTCTTCCTCTGCAAACCATTTTTCATTCTTCATCCTTTTTATTGAAAAATGTCTGTATTAATTTGAAAGAATTCTATGCACTAAAAATATTTAAACCTTGTGACACACTGAAAATATTTCCCTTGAAAAATATGGAAGCATCATGTCGACTGCCCATCAGAAGGCATGAATAAAAAGGCAGGCACAGCTCTACCATGAGATAATTCTACCTGTCAGTGAGTGTCCAGTGAAAAACACTTCTCACAAGAGCAGGAAGGTGAGTAGTGGAGTATGATGTGCATTGTAAAAAGCACTCTTGACTTTCAATTACACTAAGACTTCTAATTTGTCTTACAGTACACTATTTTTGAAGCATTCCATTTCTTTCCAGTTAACACACTCAATAGGCCTTCAAGGACTACCCCATCTGATTAACTCTTTAATGACAAATGCTTCAGAACTCTTGCTCTCTCCCACAGTCAGATTTCCACCGACATTTAAAATCCCCATTTTGCCATCAAAGAAAGGATTAATCTGTCCTTGGTTTATCTAAATGACTTAATAATAAGATATAAATGATAACCAGCTATAGGATATGTCCTGATTAAGTTTGATAGGGTTTTTTTTTTTAAGCCAACTAATGTGATGAAGTTTGCAAAGTGATTTAGATTAAACAGGTTTGACTGCTCAATTTGGAAGAGATTCAGTGCACAGGTACAGGCAGTTGTAAAATTTTAACCTTTGAATGTTACTGTCCAGAAAGTTGAGAACTGTTAGATGAACACTGCACTCACTAGTTTTCATTACTTATAAAATAAACATGTGCTTATTTCCAGTGTACTTTTCCCCTCCCACAGTTCTATTTCTTCTAAGGAACTGTTTACATGGTACAATACAGGCTAAAGGAAGAACAATCTAATTACTGAGAAATTAACACTAATTCAGAAATACAAATTATCCCAAAGCTCAACCAGAAAGCTCCTGTAAGGTCACTGGGGGAAAACACGACTTGCTAAGACTGGTCTCCCCATAGCCAAGTACAGATAAGAGACTAAGACAGGAGGAGGCCACATTTTGCACTTTGTGACAAGAAAGGACAGTAATTTCTCTTCTCGAGTCCTGAGAGTTCTGGTAAATGTTCTATGGCTTCTAGTGCCCATTCAGAGTCCTGAAAACCATAACACACTACTGTTGTAGGCACTTTTAGCACTGTGTCTTTTCTCCACTTCGGGTTTACACGTCATATGTTATTTAATACTGTTTTGGTTCACTGTATCAATGCCATGTTCAGCTGGGGCCATGACATTTACCCACATGTTCCAGGCATATAAGAAACTGAGTTGTGTATTTAAAAAAAAAAAAACAAAAACAAAAACTCAAATGATTTGGTCTTATAATCCTGCAGGAAAAATACTTTGTGACAAAATGATACTTGTTTCCAGTCAATGAAGACAGTTTGGCCACAACTGATTGTGATGGTCTGTAAGCCCAGCAAGTCAGGAGACTAAGACATGCAGATATTAAATTCAAGGCCTTTGTGGACTCCACTGTGAGCTCAAGGCAACCCAGCAACTTAACAAGAGCTGAATAAAAAGTAAAAACATCCAGCGGGAGATTAACTTGGTGACACAGCACTTGCCTACTATGTCTGAGGCCCTAGGTACCACATCAAAAAAGGACAGGAAGTAAAAATCTAGTCCATGTTTGGCTGTGTCATCAAGTTGCTAAAATTCCTTCTGGGGTAGACAGAAACAAAGTGCACCCTTGGTCATAAGGGGCCAACAACATTCCAGGGAATGATTCCACCAAAACTGAATCTGGGAAACCCATGAGTTTATTGGGATCACTTACAGATAGTAAGTGGAGGGTTAGCTACAGGGGTGTGGGTGCCCCTCTGCCAAAAGGCCTCACTGGGAAGTCTGCTCAGCAGGGACATGTGCTTCCGACAGCTACACAGATGGGGTGCCTCCCTGGTGCTCTCTCGATATTTTTAAACCAATAAACGATCACAAAATATCTAAACTTCAGATTGAAGCTGGTATCTGTCAAAAACACTTAACTGATTTAATGAACAGCCATTTAACTAAGTGGTCAACTGAAATTTTTGTAACATATGAAATAGACAATTTTATTAGATGAACTCATTTATTTGACACATTAAGTTATGCAAAGAAAAATATATGCAACTGCATAAAAAGAACCACGTTTTCATATTACTAAACACAGCAGTGGCCAAAAATAACAAATTGTAGAATGGACCCCAGGATTTAATGCAAAAAACACCCTGTACAGAAAAATTTCAGGCTTCTAACTTCACTGAATCCAGAACTATGCGTGCTTCTTTATACTCCTCAGCTTGTTCCAAGTCTTTTTCACTTTCCTGAAATGAAAAGTAGAAAAATTAGGCTTGTCCTTTAGGACTTTCAATACTTTGTATTACAGACTAATAAGTAACCCAATAATTAAACAATAGGATTCTGGGATTTCTAAATATGTCACAGTTCTGTTGCTTTGTTACTGGAAAAGAAGAAAATGAAAGGTTAGCTTATTTTTATCATATATTGTCCTACTATGTATTTTTCATGTTATAATTATGAATACAGTTAACTAAAATTATTAGCATTAAGTAATTAAATCGAAATCTCATAAATTTAAAATCATTTTTTTAAAAAAAGATTATTATGCATACAATGGTCTGCCTACATGCAGGCCTGCAGGTCAGAGAGGGCACCAGATCTCATTATAGATTATAGATGGTTGTCAGCCACCGTGTGGTTGCTGGGAATTGAACTCAGGACCTCTGGAAGAGCAGCCAGTGCTTTTATCCTCTGAGCTACCTCTCCAGCTCTAAAATCATTCTTATTTGGCCAACATTATCCCACAAAAAGATTATTCACACTGCATTAAAGTATATAACAATGATTTGTTAATGTGTTAATTATATGGTAACATCCAGCATAAAATAATACTCCAACTATTCCCAATGCCAAGTCATACAAGTTAAATACAACTAAAAAAGTAGATTGTCTGCTTATTAATGAGTATATTACATTGACATCAAACAAAATATTAACATGCTTAATTTTCTGATATTTAAAGATTAAGTTTGCTTACACACTAATATATAGGAAACTTTCACTAAGTTATTATAGCAATAGACTAAGCCTAAATTTTCACACATAGGAGACTTTGATTTAAAAAATATTATTTCTATTTTACATGTATGAGAGTGTTTTGCCTGAATATATGTCTGCGCACCCCATGCATGCCTGCTGCCCATGGAGACCAGAGGGGTGGGGTCTGGATGCCCTGGAACTAGAGTTACAGTTGGTTGTAAGCCACCATATGGTGTTGAGAACTGAACGTGGGTCCATCACTCCAGCCCTTGATTCTTAAATGAAGTGAAGGACAACAGTTGTGTGTAATATCAATAAAAGATGTGGATAGTTATGACACACACGAGGTAATAATGAGTGTATTTAACATGAATAATAAGGCAAAAACTGAATTCAGATAATTAGTAACAATTTCTTAATCCTGAAAACTGTACCTTAAACAGTTTTTTTTTTCTTTCTGTAAACATAAATTTACTGAGAACAGAGGTAATAGTTTAATTTAACCTCAAGCACAACTATCTAAACAAATCATTTTCAAACAATTTGTATTATTTTATTAGCTATTGAATTCATGAGAAACAAAGCAATGAAATTGCTAAGAAATACAAATATTATTTCTATGTAGCATTTTAACAACGATTATTTCTTACTTTACCTATCTTCTACTAAAATAGAATAAAAACCAGCACCTCTTTTAATTATGAAGAATCATCCTGCCTTTAAGAAGTTCACTATAGGGGCTGGAGAGATAATGAAGTGAATTAAGAGCACTTGTTGCTCTTCCAAAGACCAGAGACCAATCTAACCCATATCAGGTGGCTCACAAGCTCCAAGTAGGCCAGGTATGTCTGGCCTCAGTGGCACCTATTTTCAGTCATACCCATAAACACACTCATAATTAAAAACAGTAATCTTTTAAAAAACTGCTGGGTCATAGGGGCTCATGATCCTTAAATAGAACTGCAGGGAAAATTAGCACATAAAATAAGAACATTTTCCTCTTTTTTTGCCCTATAGTTTAGTCAGAATTTGGTGGTAAGCATATATTTCCTTCTCTTTCCTAGATTATTTATGAGCATACTGAAAATACTTTTCTCCTAAGGGAACAATTATGAGTCAGTTAAAGAACAGCTATGTATCTAATAATTAATGTTAGCATAGAAAATGTAAACATTAAAAATAAGATTAGTAAAGGAAATGTTAGAGCTCATCAATGACTTCATCATTGTGACAAGTAGCTTTTATTGTCAACTAGCCACAATCCAGAATCCCTTAAGAGTATGTAGCATGAGGAACCGTCTACAAGAGGATGGCTGGGAGCATGTCTTTGGAGGATGGTATTCAGTTACCTAGCACACTGTGGGCAGCACCATTCTCTAAGCTGGAAGTCCTGGATTATAGAAGAGTAGAGAAACTGGACTAAGCACAGAGCACGCATGTATTTATTTCTCTGCTGTTGACTGTGGAAGTGACAATACTAGTTGCTTCAAGCTTCTGCAACTTGACTTCCCCACAATAATGAACTATAATCTGGAATTGTGAGCAAAATTAAACCCTTTCTTCCTGAAGTTGCTTTGTGAGGGCTAAAGTTGTTTTAAGTTTTAAATTACTGTGCTTAAGAGAGCCACAAAACAAAAATGCCTCTAACCTGTAAGGCCCACGTGCCCAAGGACAGATAACTTTCCTGGAATGCGTGCGTGCGTGCGTGCATGTGTGTTCGTTCATATAAGAATACAAGCCACGTGTTTTCTCTTCTATAAACAAGGCTGGTTGGCCAACTGCACAGGATTTGCTTGATTACACACAGGTCCATAGGCAGGAAGTACGTGAGGATGTATGCTTTTCCCCATCAGATGACAGCAGGAGGTTTTACATTTATAAGCTCCCGAGTAACATAATTCAGAGCCATTCTGAATGGACTTGGCCAGTGCCCATCTTCCTGGCCAGTATTTAATAAAGCTTGCTTCAAATTTGGTTAAAAAACTGAAGTAGTGGTCTTAGTTGCACCTGGTGGGATTAACAGCTTTCTGTCAGGATTTTTTTTTAAATCACAGCAACAGAAACAAAACTAGGATACTTGTGATAGTTTGTTTTTGAGACAGGGGCTCTCATGCAGCCCTGGCTGTTCTTGAACTCAGAGATCCACCTGCCTCTGATTCCCTAGTGCTGGGATTAAAGGTGTTTGCCACCATGCTGTGTGATGGTTAGTGGAAATTGTCTAGATTGTCTACAATCCAGAATCACTTGGAAACATTCATCTTTGGTCTTGATATGAATGTAATGTGACTACTGCTGTTAGTTCCTGCCACCTTGATCGGATGGAACCTGGAATGGTAAGCCAAATAACCTCTTTGTCCCTTAAGTTGGTTGCTTTTATTCAGTATTTTACCATAGCAACAAGAAACAAAATTAAGGCAGAAAATGGTACCAAGAGTTGGGCAAATGCTGTGCTAAACATGGCCATGTGGTTGCAAATGGAACTGTTTTGTGGGAAGAATGTGGAAGTGTTTGGTACACTGGTTTAGAAAATCCATTCAAGTCTGGAGGCAGAGGTTCCCGGGCATTCTAGTGGGAGTGTGGACAACAAGAATGCTGAGGAAATGGACTACACTGTGGAAGGCCAGTGCATAAGGTTATGGAGGACGGAAGGAATCTCAACAACTGGGCTAGGGGCTGTTCCTGTGACATTATGGCCAAGAATCTGGCTTCCTTTTGCTCTTGATCTGAGAACCCAAGTTAATGTAAAGATAATGGACAGATCTGTCTGGAAGAGGGTATTTCATAGATAGAGAAGCCTCTTGTGCTGCACTGGGAGATGAAGTGTGTCCTGAAGGCAAAAAGCACACCACTTAGAGGCTCCATCTTGAGAAGATGCAAATTCACTAACAGGAAGAAAGCCTAAGGCACCCCCTGTTCCTGGAAAACAACAGCCTCAGCACACGGAGGCTGACACAGTTGTGGTCCAAAGGGGAAAGGCTGTGAACAGAATTTGGCTACTGTCCGTGTGGTATCTGTTTAAAAGTCACAAAAGATGTTAAGCATGAGGGATCATTGAAAGCAGCGGAGGCCATGCTCTGTGTGGCATGGAAGCAGTCCCTGAGATACGGGGCCCTGAGAGGCTAATCTATAAAGGTGAAGATTAAATAAACTGTAGTGGAACTCCAGAAGGCAGGCAAACCAGGACAATGGGCCACCTTCAAGGAGTGCCGCAGGTGTGGAGTGGAGCTGACAGAGTTGTGTGCTGATGGTGGCAGGGGTGGAAGAGGGTGGGGCTGTCCAAACCTTTGGATCTCAGCCAGTTTCATCACAAGCCCCAGATGCAGGACAAAGAGCTGCACAATTTGGTGTTTTCTCTGCTGGAGTTCCATCTGTTTATTTCTTGCTATGCCCTGGTTCCTCCATGTTGAAACAGGAATGTCTACTCTGTACTACATTATGTTGAAAGTATACAACATTTTTATTTTATAGGAATTCATAGTTTGCTATTTTATGTTGAAAGTTCACAACTTTATTTTATAGGAACTCATAGTTAAAAGTTTTCAGACTTTTTTTTTTTTTCCCCGAGACAGGGTTTCTTTGTATTGCTTTGGAGGTTGTCCTGGAACTTGCTTTGTAGACTAGGCTGGCCTTGAACTTACAGAGATCTAACTGCCTCTGCCTCCCAAGTGCTGGGATTAAAGGCATGCACCACCAACGCCCAATATTTAAATATTGGTAAATTTAAAAATAATAAGGACTTTAAAATACTGGTGAATTTAAAAATAATAAGGACTTTTAAAAGTCCTTATTTTAAAATAATAAGGACATTTAACATTGGGAGATAAACATTTGACTTTGAGGACAAAAGGTAGAGAAGGTCACAGGAAGTAGAGTTGTGATGGCTGGCTTTAGCTGTCAGGCTAGTTCACTGCTTTTTGCTCTTCACTGTAGATTTAGGTAATATAATCCTGCACCCTCCCTTCCTGCAGTCCTTCACTGCAGGCAATTTGAGCCAAATAAGCTTTTTATCCCATAAGTTGCCTTTGTCAGAGTATTTTAGAGTATTCACAGCAACAGAAAGAGGAACTAAGACAACAGCACTATGCCACTTAGACTCATTTATAAACCCAGCAACCACTGTTTCACAAAGTGTGTGTTATTACAGGAAGTAGAACAGCACTGCCCAACTCAGGTGACTTCAGGAGAGGTTTGCCTCTATAACCTTCCCCCATTCTCTCAAATTCATTTAGGTCTGAATCTAAAATAATTCCAGATCTTTTAAATAAGGGCCAAATTAACTTGAGACATTGGATTAAATTAAATGTCAAACAAACAGTTGGCTCACTGTTCATGAGTTAAAAAAAAGTATGCATAAAAACCAAATATTTCTGACCAAAACTGGTATCATGTATATAAACCTGCTATGACTCAAACATTTAGTTAAGTAAGTAGAGTAAACATGACAGAAAAGAACTTTTACTGGAGTTATAACTCAAACATAAGTTAAACTCTAAATATTTAAAGCATGCTGGTTCAAGGGTACAATGGTTAGTACTGTCAATACCTAGGGAGCAAGCTTCTAGGCTGAACAGTGTGGGCTGTCTAGATTAATGTTAACCTCTGAATATGACAATGAGAGATTATCTTGATTATGTTAACTGATGTATGAAGATCCATCCTAATTTTGAGCTGGACCCTAGACCATCCCTAAGCAGAGGAGACAAGCACACACACATTGGCTGCATTCTGTTCCTGATTATGGATACAGTGTAATCGGCTCTCTCAAGTCATTGTGCTCTGACTGACTGTATCCTGGAACTCTGAGCTAAAATGTACCTTTCTAAGAGTACTTCATCATAAATCAAGAGAAGAAACCAAGACATAAGCAAATGAATAAAACATCTCTTTGAATAGCTGCAGTATTAAATATTCAAAGTTTTTGTTTTCCACAGATTAGTTGAAAACAATTTAAAATATAAGCTAAAGGAATCTTTACTTACTAATATTTGCTGAAGATCAGTATATGCAGCCTCTAACCGTCTCTGGCAATCTGGGATCATCATCCGGGACTCTTGCAGGATTTCTGCCTGTAATGAGAACATTTGTGAGATATGTCAAGATGACAGAATTAATGAGTTTTTATTTTATACCTTGGCATATAACTAATGATTTAAAGGAAATGAAAAGTATGACTATGCTAAATGACTCAATGCTCTAATCAGACTGCATTATTTGCAAAGTACAACTTATAAGCAGAACTTAAACAAAAGTTTTGGGCTTTTCTCCCTTTTGGTAATCACCTTCTCATGGTAAGTGAAAATTAACTGGCAAAGCTTTTCATTCAGCTCTTATTTAAAAGGCTATTTAAAGTAAATGATTCCCCTGCTGTCACAAAGCACCTTTATCTAAAATGGGATCAGCTGGTTATATAAATATCCCCTGCATCTTTGGGTAATAAAGGAAAACAGTGTTCAGATAATATCACAGGGAGATAATTACTGCATGAGAGAAGTTATTGAGTTATTGATCACATCGTGTGCACACTGCAGGAGGGACTCCCTGAAAGACAGAGGTAAGAAAAATGAAAAGCAAAGACCAGCAGGTTCATATTTTGATGCTTATCATGCATAAAAAGTTATTACTTATCCTTGGGCTTCATTTTAGGAGAGAGATTATTCTCCCAGCAGTTTGAGCAAAATTACCAATGTGGCTCCCTCTGAATCTGAACTTCTTGCCTATTCTTCATGAAGATGCTGAAGAATTAACCACAGGGACACCTATTCTGAGGGATGTTTTTGGATGTAAAAATCTACCATTCAAAGCTCTATTGTAACACATCAAAACACAAAAGAAAACTAGGAAACTTAGTCAATAGTTAGTCATGATGCTGGACTTAAGATTTTTTGTTCAGTTGGTACAAAAGCTTTGTTTCCTTCAATTATTCCCAGAGACAGATACTGTCATAACATTTTTCTCAAAAACGTTTGGTCAAAAGTTTTCAGAGAAAGGGGTACAAAATTAGTCAAGATTACCTAGCTGAAATAAAACAATGCACATGATTTAATGTGAATAATACTCAATTACAATTATAATGGAAACGTTAGTAGTCCCAGAATCTTCATACTTCCTTTGGCAGTTTGTTGTAGCTCACACTGTTATAAAACCATCACAGTACACATCCGCTTTCCTAGGTGGAAATACATGGCTGAACTTAGAATGCTTTGGCTAATAAGACACAGATTAAAATTTCAAGTATAGGATCATGACTTTACTTTCAAATAAACTTATCCTTAATCAATGCCACCAAATTATTTTTATATATCTGGTTTGAATCCAGGTGAAAAATTGGCAACAGGAACATTGTGGACTTCTCCCGTGGAATTCTTGCAGAACAGCTTACAAGAATTAAATAAGATCAATACGAAGAATTGGATCAAACTCATGACAAGTCAAAATATATATTTACGATTGCCCCCCAAGCTTTAATGTTACTGAAATGAACTTTTAGTAGCACTATCCAACATAATTTCTATTCTTTATTATCTCTTTATATTAATATAGACCAAGATCTTCTGTTAGTCTAGCAAGATGAAAGGACAAAAGTTCATTCCCCTGTATTTTACCCTGATTATTCACTAAATTTCCTCTACATTCAGCCCCTAACCACAGGTTCCACACCTGCAGATTTTACCTACAGTAGACTGAAATTAAAAACCAAAACAAAAAAACTGTATTGAACACTTGTAATATTTTTGTCATTATTCTTTAAAAATAATATGCCATAACAATTATTTATATCATATTGGTATAATATAGAGATGAATTAAAATATATAGCAATATATGTTATACACTGTACCATTTTCTAAATAGAGTTGGTTCAAGAACATTAAGGGTTGATTGCTGCCTACATAATGCCAGGACGGGGGAGACAAAAATGCAAAGAGAAGGTTCAGTTTCCCAGTCCAATCAGGAGCATAAACATGAAAATATGAAGCATGACACCGCCTCAAGTGAAGACTTGCCATTCAATGCCAAAGGAGCACCCTGGAAACCTGGACACTATAAGCCATACCTGCATCAAATCCACAAGTTAAATAGTTTCCTTTATAGCAATGAATTATAACTGCCAGAGATAATTTTTTTTATTCTCTGAAAATTTCATACAGTATACTAACATACTCAACAGTTACTGAACTCCTCCTTGACCCTTCCCAAATCACCACCCAGTCAAGTTCTTCTTTTTCAAAAACAAACAAAAAGGCCATTAAAGCCATGCAGTCCAATTTGTGTTGGCCAACTACTCCTGAGTATGGAGTCTGCCCTGGACTGTGGCTGATATACCAAGTATCAGCCCATTAAAGAGAACCGACTTTCTTTGTCCCAGCAGTTATCATTGGGAACAGTTTCTCCACCAGGGGTGGGACTTTAGTGGCACTTTCTTGGATTTTGTCTGCCAGGAACTAACAACAGTGTCTGAGTCATGATTATACAAAGAAGACATCCCCAAATACCCCATCTACCTAAATGAGTGCTGTTTGTTCAGAGTGCCTTCTTAGAATAGTCCCTTCTTTAGAAGACTCAAAAAATGGTTCACTCTAATGCTCACTGCATTGCATCTGAGAGAAAAATCAGGGTCTTGGCACAGTCACTGGGATGCAGAAGGAACCTTAGGGGAATACCATAGAATGCCTTCCCTGTTGATATGAAATTGATTTTAAAACAAGTTATAACTTTTTTGAGTATTTATTTTGGTAAAATGGAAGTTGGGGAGAATAGGTAAGGCTTGGTTTATAACAATCTACAGACTGCAGAACCTAAAAGTTGATTAATTTCTTTTATGATCAAAAATAAAAAATGAAAATAAACATTTCAATTGATAGAATTCCTTTTTTGTCACAGGAAGAATTCTATGAAACAATGTGGCCAATGATAAGCTGTTTGGTAACGGATTAGGCTAAGGTTTCTGGCTTCTTTGTGAGCCAGATCTTGTAACCAGGGATGGGCTAGACCTATAAGCTGTAACAGCCTATAGAATAATGTCAGCTGTCTCTGGAGCCAATGATATTCCTATTAGCTTGTCAGATGGAGCTCTAGAAATTACTGAAACATTAGTTTCGTCTTCTCTTTTACATAGTAGCAAGATGTTAACATGCTTACATGGTGAATTAGGAATCCATTTAACTTGTGTTTGTCTGGTTATTGCTGAATCCATTGGGGGGGGGCAGAGCAGTGTAAACTCTGATTCACCAACAACTGTCATGAAAGTAAATGGTGCAATCGTACCATCTAAAGCATGGAGACAGAGCACTGAACGAGTGCCAGGACAGCCTCCAAAGCTACCTGTCTCAAACTTGACCCCTGCACCTCCCCCCAAAAAAAGCATGGAGATAGACTAACTGTACCCTACCACATGCCATCTATAAGAAATTCACTCCAGACGCAAAATAAATAAGTAAATAAGTGTGTAGAAAAAGATGTGGAATATTAAAAATGAACAAAACAACAGAAGTGACTATATTAATATTATAGAGCAGACTGCTGCAAGTCAAGAAAGGCTGTTGGGAAAAAAGGAGTGTCACATTATCAGAGCACTATAAGCACATCAAGGTAACATGTGATCCTGTGTATGAACTGAACAGATAAACAGATAAATGATCATATAGAGATGGGGATTTCCATACTTACTGTCAACAATTTATGGAAATACTAGACAAAAATGAGCAAAGATAGGAAAGAACTAGACACCAGCAGAGTAAGCTATGCTGCTTAACAAACACAAAACAAAACAAAAAACCCCCACAACTCCATATTGGGAAGAGTGAAGGGAGGGAAACGATAGTCAGGATATAAAGAAAATTTAAAAACCAAACACCGTATCTTAGCAAGGAAACAGAACACTCTGTAAGAGAATGTAAATGCATTTAAGCCCTGTGAGACACTGCAGCAGACCACATCCTAAGTCAAACAACAGTGAAAATAATACGGGAACCTAGAAACCATGCAATCAATCACACACAGTACATGCTCTAACTGCGATGCAACATAATCAGAGTTGGTAACTGCAAGAGGAGAATCTTCCCTTATCAATTAGTAGTCAGCCAGGCAGTGTTGGAATACACCTTCATCCTAGCACTTGGCATCAATTAATAGTCAGCCGGGCAGTGTTGGAACTAACACTCCTTTACCCCTGCATTTAAGGCAGAGGCCAAAAAATGCTGTGGGATGCAGTCAGACCTACACTAGGGCCGAGAGGAATATTCAAGGCCATGAATGCTCCCATCACCAAGGTTAAGTGCTGTCAAATCTATGTTCTTACCACAAAAAGAAAAAGAGACTGCACTTAAAACAACACTTAAAAGGAGGCCACTCTGGTCTATTTATGGAGTTCTAGGACAGCCAAGGCCACACAGAGTCCCTTGTCAAAAGGAACAAAAAACAAGCAAACAAACAAAAAACCCAAACCAAAACAACAACAAAAAGAAAAAGGAAGCAAATATACTCAGAACAATTAAAAGAAATAAAGTGATTATAAAAGTACAAATTGATAAAATTACAAATAAGAAAAGTACAGAGAAAAGTCAACAGAACCAAAGGTAGAGTTAAAAACAAGTTGATGTACTTCTGGCAAGGCCAAGTGAGTTGGCACAAATTACCAAAAGCAACACCAAATGGCACCTGTAACTATTGAAGAAAAAAGAGGTAACAAGGACAATTACAGTATCAGTGAAAGCAAGGGACCCCACTCCTAAAAATGTATGTAAACTACCCGAACCCCACCAGCTCCATCTCTTTCCTGCAAATTTCATAACTTCACTCTAATTTAAGATGAATACTATCCCATTGTGTGCATATAGCACACTTCCCTTATCCATTCATTGTAGATGGACATCTGGTCTGTGTCAATTTCCCAACTATTATAAGAAATATATATTTTATTTTGGTGGTCTTCACATCAATTGGGGAGTTATTTCTAAATTTAAAGATGTAATTATACTTACTATATTATCCAATTTTCAGATTGAATACTAAGAACTGGAGATGCTGCAGAGCTTCATAGCTGAGAACAACAAGAGAATGCTCGTGTTCAAACATGAGTGCTGTGTGACTTGCTGCAGTTATTTCACTAAAGTTTCCACTTTCTATCTTTGTTGGGTTTTATCTTTTTGTTTGTGTTTGTCTGAAAGTGCTTCTAGTCCACAGGCTGGCCTCCAACTTGCAGTTATCCTCCTGCCTCAGCCTCACCACACACATAGTTCCATCTCTGAGAGCTATGATAAAGACAACATCAGCACAGTTCCTCTGAGCATCAACTTTACCTGCTTCTTAATGGCGTAGTTTTCACCATCTTCAGCCTTCATTTTTTCAATCTTTTCTTCTTGTTGCTTTGCCTCTTTCTCATACATCACTTTTTCTTTGACCAACCTATAAACAAACCAAAAATGTTTTACAGAATTAGATTTTTTCTCTAAAGGATGTATAACAAAGAAACTATGTAAATAAGTGCAGCACAATATTTAGCAATTTTCAAACCTGCTAGTTCACCTTTGGTTATTTTCACCAATTTTCTGGAGTAATACTCAACTAGATAGACAGGGAATCTACCTAATAGTGTCAATCTCTGAGTACTGCTTTCCTTTTCCAAATGTCACTTAAAATACAATTTCAAAGTTATGCTATTACAGCTTAAAGGCAAAATTAACTGAAAATATTTTCCATTATTCTTACAAACCCACAGCCCAAAGCAGCAAAGCAACTTCAAAGTCTGTTGGTTCTAACTAGCTAGAAAAGCTTAATACTAATAAGAGCTTTAAGAACTATAAAAGACTGACAACCCCTAATGGGATAATCAAATAATAAACTACCTGTAACATGATGTGTAACACACAACACAGCATTTACATATGCAGCTCCACAACTAGTAGTATTATCCAAACAAATCCTTTTGTGCTAGTGGCCAAATAAACTGAAGAACAGAAGTTCCAAGGATGGATAACATGTTTGTGTAAAAGGTCTAGGTAAGTCTTGTAGTAACATATCTGCTAAACATGGTTCAAGTGCAAACTCAACGGAGATTCAAGCATTATCGGCATGGCTCCTCCAGAACAGCTGCCTCTCAGCACAAGTTTGACAAGTGCTTTGTAGAAACCCATGTTTTCTCTACAAAACTCACAAGTGCAAATTTAACATATTTAAATATGCTGCTCAGGCAATTCAAGTTTTGGGGTAAATTAAGAGCTTCTGACCATGCAGCTAAAAACACTGATTTTTAATTTTCTTAATTTATGATCTTAACTTTATAGTTTTAAGAATTATCAACATTTTTCAGTGTATTTATGGTCATCTAATATCTAATATTCCAAAATCACATGTACGGAGTGGCAGGCCAGTACAAATAACAGTGGTAAAAAGGGATAAAAGGGGCAGGAGAGATGGCTCAGAGGTTAAGAGCATTTTCTGTTCTTATAGAGGACCCAGGATCAATTCTGAGCTCCTGTGCCAGCTAGAAACTGCCTGAAACTATAACTCCAAGGGTTCTGACACTCTCTTCTACCTCCACAAGTAACTACACATACATGTAGTTTACTTACATGATGACAAAAAAAAACCCAAAAAACAGACAACAAACAAACAAAAAACCCTTTGGCAGGGGTGGTGGTGGCACACACCTTTAATCCCAGCGGATAGGTATTTCTTTAAGATGACATGCAGATGTGTAGTAAGCACATGAGAAGATACTCAACCCCATCCATCAGGAATGATAGATATAACATTGCATAATCTGACGTCTATAATCAGTCAGATCATAAATGTCAAGTGTTGGGAAAGACATGGAGAAAAGCTGAAAGCATTGAACAATACTGTTAGAAATGAAAACTGACAGAGTTGTTTGGAAATTGGCTGCTTCTCAAAATATTCAATCAAAATTACAATTTTCCCCAATGCTACTCCTAGATATATGCCCCAGAGAAACTGAAACAGAAGTCCACATGAAACCTATGTCTACAAATGTTGATAATAGCCTTATGTGCAACAGCTAAAACATGGGAACTTAAAACTCCATTTCATGGACAAACAGAAGTTTATGCATTCACTGAAATATTACTAGGCAATAAAAAGGAGTAAAGTACTCTAGGGGAGAATCTACCACAATTATTCTGCTAAATGGACATAATAACAAACTGATTCTTAATGACATCATTATACCTAGCTATTAGTGCATCTCTCAACCCTCAACAAGAAGCATCCCTAATGTGGTATACATCCTTAGCACATTAATTTTTGGTAATTAACAGAGAATTCTACAACAGGTCAAGCTGCAGAGAATAAGATAATACAGAATGTGCATTCCAAGAGGGACAACTATCTCACACCCTCCCAAGGCTTGGGAATCACTGCAAAGGAAAAGACAGAGAACTGTAAGAGGAAGAGGGGGAAGGTGACTACAAGGAAACACTGTTCTTGGGACATGGCAGACAGCTGCACATATGAACTCACAGTGGTTGTGACAGTACACACAAGTCCTACACAGTCTCAATCCAGGCAAAATCCCAGAACAAAGGTGGTAGGGAGCAGGCATGAGACCCCAACTACAGCTGAGGAGCTACTGGCAACTGACAGTCACTTGTAGGAGAGTTACTTCTTTTTGAGCCCTTGGTAGGTAGATCATGCTCTAGTGGATGGCCACATACCAAGAGCATCTGGGCAGCACAAATTGAAATTGGTGGATTTAAAAGGGACATGGAGTTGGGTTGGTAGGGAAGGGAGGTGGTTCTGGGAGGAATGGGAGAGGAGGTGAAGTGATAAAAATATACTGTATAAAATTCTCAAAAGACTAAAAAAGGGTGGGTACTAATTCATACTACAACATGATGAACCTTGAGAACATGCAGTGAAAGCAGCCAGACATAAGGAGCTAGAAACTGTATTGATCTATTGATAGGACATCCACAGAATAGACAAGTATAAGAATGCAGAGAAAAAAGTAAATTCATGGTAGCCTAGGACTGGTTTGTTTCTGACTTGATGAAAATGTTCCAAATACGATACCATCTGAGTGACAGGAGTACAATTCTGTAACTATACTGGACACTTTGAATGACTATACTATAAATGTTTGTCTTTATGCTCAGATAGGTGTAGTCCTAGCCCCTCTCCCCCGCCTCCATCAAGGAAACTTTTCTTTGACACAGACACAGACACAGACCATTACAGAAAACCACAACTAATCTACAAAGCAGAATTGTGGAGCACAGTCACAATGGATAAGTCTATAACACAACTTGGACAACTAAGGCTCAGGAACATTGAGAGAGATGGGGTAGAAAAAAAGGCAGAGGATCAGGGAGTTTTTTGTGAGACTGTGTCTCCTAGAAATGTCAGAAGTTACAACCATAAAGTCTCACCAACATGACTGCCTAAACCTGACCTGAACAAGAATCATAGTAAGACATGCCAAAGTGGATGGTGGAAAGCTAACAAGGCCTCAACCCTACACAAAGGACTGTAGGCAACTAAGGAATGCCCAGAGTGGGAAAAAGTCTTCCTCAGGGAAGAGCAACTAATTGGCTATCTAATACCAAATGGTCAGCCCTGAAAACACACATACCTAGTAACATATAAACTAAGCAGACTATATTTATGTATTTAGGAATATATATGTGTAAGTACAATTAATGAAAAAAGAGGTCATAAGTTTGAACATTAACAAGGAGGGGTACATAGAAGGATTTGGAAGGAGGAAAGGGAAGGAGAAAATGATGTAATTATAATCTCAAAATATAACTGAAATAATTTTAAAATTACTTTAATTAAAAGGTCCCTTTAAATACTTTAAAAAAAATGCCAGTCTGCTTGAGTGAAACCTAAAGATGATTTTATTTGACTGACAATGTTGTAAAGAAAGAATAAAAAGGCACAGAAGGAGGAGGGAGGAAAAGGGGCAGGGGAGAAAGGAAGTATTGGGAGAGATAAGTTTATCCATACAGTAAAAGGCTGGGATACTACTTAGTGTACAGCCCTTGCTTAACAAGGGTAAGGCCCTGGGTTTGAAGGTCAGCACTACAGAAAGAAGCAAGAGAGTTCATTCTGGATTTCCAGTTTGTGTCTGCTGTCTCACTAGGGAAGAGGAGGGCTGCATTCTCACTACTGGATGTAGTGAGAGGTAAGGGCAAACTGCACCTTCAGATGAGTCATATGCTATGAACTGCCCCACTTCAGACTTCTATTTTACAAATACACAGGCTCTGGTGGTTTGGATGAAAATGGCCCCACAAGGCTCCTATATTTGAATTCTTGGTCCCTGATTGGTGGAACTGTTTGAAAAGGATTAGGAGGTATGGCCTTGTTGGAGGAGGTGTGTCTCTGGGGGAGGGCTTTGGGGTTTCAAAAGCCCACGCCATTCCCAGTTGGCTCTCTCTGCCTCCTCCTTGTGGGTAAGGATGTAAGCTCTCAGATCCTGCTCCTGCACCATGTATGCTGCCATGCTCCCTGCTATGATGATCATGGAAACTAACACTCTGAAACACTTAAGTCTCATTAAACTCTTCCTTCTATAAGTTGCCTTGGTCATGGTTTCTGTACAGTAATGAAAAAGCAACTAACACACAGGTCTTACATTTGTCTTCTGCAAGTCTGAACTTGTGTGTTGTATCATTTTACATATCAATGCCATAGAGTTGCTGTTTTTATTATCATTATGTAATTACTATTATTCATGTGTACTCAGCACCCATTGCATTAGCAATAAAGCCAAATTTTTCCAAATATTTTTGGTTGCTAAACTCCTCTAAAACAGGTAACTGGAACCACACAGTAGTTCTCCCATCTCCCTGACAGACAGAAAAGAGAAATACTTTAAAGGAAACTACTTTGGCTCATGGTTTGAGTTCATGTTCAGCTGGTTCCACTGTTTCTGGACCTGTGGTAAGGCAAATCATGATGGGAAAGGTAGTGTGGAGTAGAGCTGTTTACCTCATGGTAGCCAGGAAGTAGAGGCAGAATGGAGCCAAGAACAAGGTCCATTTTTCCAGGGCATGTCCCAGTAATCCACTTCCCCAACAGACCTGACTTCTCAAAAGTGCCATTATATTACAAATCCATCAAGGGATTAACCTGTTGATTAAGCCTGAGATCTTAGGATGGCAACAAAGCCCCCAAATGCATGAATCTCTGGGGGCCAACTCAGATGCAAACATAGTGAGTTGGATAGGCTACCAGAGTGCAGCACATTCCATAACATCCTGTAATTCAAAGATCTAATCAGCGCTAGCAACCGATGGCCACAGCCAAACCAGGTCAAGAACTACGAATTACGTTATAGGCACTCACTGTAATCTAAATGTTTAAAAAATGAGCCTAAAATGTGAATACATTTGCCTTTTAATATTTTCCATTTAAAGAAGTATATAGAGCAATTCTGGAGC